AATTTGAACAAGAAAAACAGCAAATGCAAAAATTTATTACAAATAATGATATTATCTATTTGAATGTCGGTGGTGAGAAAATTGTTACATCGAGAGGAACGTTGACATTGGTACCCGGAACATTGTTATCAACGATGTTTTCTGGAAAATGGGAAGACAACATAATGAAAGATAAAGATGGTTACATTTTCCTTGACTATAGTCCTGCACTTTTCAAATGTCTTATTGACCAATTGAGAGAATGGAATGATACTGTTTTCGATGAAGAAGAAAAAGTATTTGGATTACCTGCTGGTTTTGAGCAGCAATTTCAAATATTCATTCAACAGCTCGGATTTGATAGCAAATATGTGAATAAATCGGCAAGTAGCAATATCCAAGAAAGCAATCAAGAAAGATTTAATAAAGTGGTTGGCAAAATAGAGCTTGCAGATAATGGTAAAGTGGCTAGACATGACGCAAGTGTCACACAATCAGAAGTTCGAGCTTGTCCATTTCCATGGCAATTAAACGTCAATCTGTATAATCCAAACACTAGTATTCGAATATTATCGTAATGCATATCTCTATAGATGTGCAATCGACGACCCTTTTTAGTGCACTTTTCTGTTATTCCATTGACGGCAAGTCCAAGATTCTGGGGCTGCCGTATACGAAACTTCGAAATAATGATTATTTTCATTCAGCGAGAGGTTATTTGTCTGGAACTAAAAAGGTTACACAGTTTATCCGCACGGATGATGACGCTTTGAGACCTGGAATTTTGAAAATCAAATTTGTGTTTTTTTTGTTACTTGGGGTCCCATCAGGAAAACCCAAGTGCGCTTTTTTCCGAAGTTATGCTGAAAAATCCTGAGAATATGTACTGACGATACTTCGTACGACTGAACGCTTCATATTTCTTAAAAGTGCTACTTTTAATCAAAAAAAAATTTGTTCCGGTCTTCTATTAGAGGTCTCGCTAGTGACGCTCTAGCTTGACTCTTCGATGTTTTCAATTTATTCCATAAACAAAAAACAAAATGCATCACATTCACTACTGTAACTAAAGAAGAACACTGTTTCTATATTCATCATCGCATCCGTTGAAAATGATAATCTTATCTGGTCCATTCTTCTCATGATACAATAAAATGTACAAAGTATCGATCGATCTAGAAATAGTCATACTTTAGAAAATAGGGGAAATAGAAAGTGAGGATGATCTCATGACGAACGTATGAAAGGCGCAGCCTGTAACATCTCCGATGTTTGAGTTAAGCCTTTTGTTGAACCAGAACGAAAGCTGGAATATATAAAGTCTTGCTATACTGTGCTCTTTCGTCAACTATCAAAACACAAAATCAATCTTTGCAGACGAAACTACAAGACTCAACTCCGCTGTTCTCACCTATATTCTGCGAAACGATTGAAGTTGTACAACGACTCGATGTTAACCTTGTTCATCCATTTTGTCCAAGTAAATAGTCTATCTGCTGCATAACTAGTAAGTTATAAAATTGATTTCATCAATTTAACTTTCGATAAAAACAAGTGTATAATAAAATATTAATAATTATAAAATGGCTTGTCCAAATGTAACGGAATTTCATTTTTCTAACTTTTGCGCCCTCTATCTCGGTAAGCACGGAATAGATAAAAGAGAAATTTTATCAAATGTGTAGCCCGTCTGGTCCTGCTACATAGAAAATTCGGAGCTGATTTCATTCATCCGATCAAAAGTTATAGGCAAAATGAAGACCGTAACGGAATTTCCAAAAATGGACGGTTTTTTTCGGAGGTTTTAGGACTCTGATAATTTCTCTAAAATTAGACATCACAGGAAGACCTTGTTTGAATGAAACTTGTAGAATTTTCTTCGGGCTTTCAGATTATCTAATTGTTTTTGTCTGATGATGTCTGGATCGGAGAAAAGAGCAAAACTACGTCCGTAACGGAATTTCATAGCCCTTAGAATTCTCTACAAGCTGAACTAGTCAGCATGTCTCGACTGGTCGGGCCAGTCGCCAAAGTCATGCAAAAGAAGCGCTGGAGTACGAAAACCACATGCAGCACACTCCTTCAGTCATTTTTTCTGTCATAATGGAAAATTATATATTTTGCAAAAGGATACCATTGGATAGCCCGTGAAAATCTCTACAAAGTGAGCTAGTCAGAATATCTACACTGCTAGGGTCAGTTATTAAAGATATGCAAAGGAAGCGTTTGGGTGATATATATGCAGCACAGTGTGTCATAAACATAAGAACTCCTTTGTTTTTGATTTTGCAGGCAAAGCTGGAGCAAAATTGAACACTGTTCTGAATAGCCAGAAGATTTTTCTGTCCAATGAGGTTCATATTGCCATTTTATAAGAAAACTTGATAATAGGGTTTCTGGAAAACCTGACCGCCAGAAAGCCAGGTCTTTGGTTTTTCCTTCCAAAATTTTGTAAACCATATAGCTCGATAGAGCAAAGAATTCTGAACAAATCAGGATATATAAATAATAATAATTATTTAAGGAAATATTCCGATGAAAACGCGTTACAGACAGCTAGGAGATATCCTGATTTGTTGAGAATTCTTTGCTCTATCGGGTCATATGGTTTACAAAATTTTGGGAGAAAAAGCCAGACATAGGAAAAACGAATTTAAAAAAAGCTCGTCATACTTTTAAAGCTCGTTTGATGGCCGATCTAACTATGTGTGAATCAAACGTCTAGTCCTTCACACAAAAAACGAGTAGGGTTTGTAAATAGAAGTCCTCGAGAATGAACCTTTAAACGTTTGAGACTCTGGCAAACTTTCACTTTTTCCTTTAAAGGCTTAAAAATACCCTGGTAGATTCAGTTTTGAACAAGGAATCCAAATATAGGAAGCTCGAGTCTCAAAACCATGAAGGAAAAAACTATGAAACTTTTTCGAAAATGAAAAATTTTAGGGTTTTCGAGATCTTTTCAGTATTTTGAGATTTTCTCCATAAAGAAAGGGGTTTTAAGGGTTTCTCTAATTCTTTTATCTCTGCCTCTAATCTTTGATCAAAGATCTTTTAAGTCAGTGTGCTGTTTCCTATTTGAAAATAGGAAGAGTAATGCACGCACGCGAGTTTCTCCTGCATTTTTAGTTCTCGCAAATATGGCCTTATCTGCCTATTACGCTTTCGATTCACCCAGTCCACTCATTGATGCTGGACCGAATATGATGAATGCAACAGTTGTTGGCAATTTTTCGTCGATAAACAGTCGGCGAAATCAAGCAATATTATTCAACACGACGAATTCGTATGTTTACGCAGCAGGATTTACTGTATTCAGCACAACAAATCAACCATTTTCTATTGCAATGTGGATTAAACCGATAATGTTAAATGGTACGTTGCTTCAAGTAACGAAATCCGGAACAGGTATGGACAGCGTGATCTCACAATAGTTTGATTTGCTTACATCATTCTGATTTCCTATCTAGTTAATAGTGGCTGGTGCACCCCATTCGTCGGATTTTCTCTCAATGGTAGTATTGTTGTACAAACATACGACCAGCAGAATACGCTTCCATCCATCATTGGTCCTATTATCACGCCAAATACATGGTTATATATTGTTGAGACATTTAGTCAAGGAAATGGACTCCGTTTGTATTTAAATGGCTCGTTGTATCAAACGAGATCGGTATCATCGTATTATGGAAGTGGTACAGGAGCGAATTATGTTATTATAGGTAGTAATTTAGGAGGAAACTGTTATTCCGGTGATATCAGTATGGGACAATATCGAGGAGCCATTGACGAACTCAGAATTTACTCGAGAGAACTGTCAGCAACCGATGTTGCTATACTCTCAAACTGGTAAAATACTTTCAATGTGCTAAATAAATTTTCTTCGTCTAAGCCTTATTTATTTGATATATAGCAATATTATTGTTGTATACAACAATAGCCATTTCATAAAGTATATTTCCAGTACCATACAAAAATTTCAGGCCAACTGTTTTATTCGCTATTTGATTTGAAGCTATTTGACATAATTGTATCAACAGTTAAATAAAGAGAAAATATTAATATTGATAATATACGAAATAAGATTAAAAAACCTTTAGAGATATTACTGTAATTCTTAAAATGAAATTTGAAAAATCTTAAAAAGAAAAGAAAACTATTGAAGTCTTTTGCATGTTAAACTATGCTAAATGATTATACCTGTGTCCTGCACATATTAATCCCTCATTTATAGCCCCAACTGTTTGTCTGATTGATTGAAATATTTTCACTATAAAAATAATGCGACATTATACACAAAATAATTTCTGCTTTAAACAAATACTTCGATAGAGTTTAATAATCGTGAATCAGCTTTTAATATCCTCCAGCTAGCTAAAAGAAAATCTGACTGTATGCATCGGGTAAGTGATCAACACACATTTTATCAAAAGATGTTAATTCGAAAATATTTTTCAAATTAGATTTTTTGAGAAGATCTTTAGAGAGCCAACTAATATCTATTCATTACAACACTATTTTGATAGTTTTATGATGTTTCTTTTACGGATAATATTTCACTAAAATGCAAAATAATTAGGTTTTTCTATCTTACTCAACTAACAACAGAGGCACTTTCGATACGTTTTTGGAAGTTCATCGGTACCAGGAGCAAACCTTGTTAGCGCAATGGTTAAAATACTTGCTTATACAGCGATCCTCTAATAAAGTTCTAAAACATATATCAAAATTAAACAGCTTATCTAAAAAAACTTTCACTATTGCTCTTGTTTTTGTTTTTTTGTTCTGTGTAGTCTTTATTGTTCACACTTGAATGTAAGACTATTGATGTTTATGTTTCTAGTATCAACGTCTTTAATTGCCTCATTGTTACTCCTACATCAGAAAATTCCAAAGAAAGTTTCTAATAAGTTAGTAATAATAATGATTCGAGTGCATGAACCTTTGAATGAGAAAAAAATAGATTAAAGTATAATTGGAAACAAACAAATAGAGTCTATATAGCTCCCATACATATGAAAAGAAAAGAAGACTAAAACTGGATTACAAGACAGAACTTTCCGCCAATAATCTTAAGATAAAAATAGATAAAAATATATATGTAAACTGTTTAACAAGATTCTTGGCTGAAATGGCAAGAGACAAGAATCTTGCTAGAAATACAAAAAGAAACTCGAGCAGTGATATAATATAAAGAACAAATTTTCTATTTCTCTTCAACAACTCGTTCTTTTCCTTGTACAATTGTTGTATACAATAATGATTCAGGAATTCCGGTTTTTGCCCATAGTTGACACACTCAAGCAAGAGACTGATTGAGGGCGTCCTCCTTCATTTCTAAAATAACTTCATAATTGAGCTAAACATGGTGTGTTTTGAAGCTATGCATCCTATACAATCTGAGATCACTCCCAGCTCTCCAGGTTTCCCCCCCCAAAAAGTATGAGATGTTCAAGTTTTACTTCATAAAACCATAGTTTTTCGTACTTCTCTTAAATTGCGACAGTTTAACTTTTTTCAGTTTTTCTAGTTATATAGCTTTATACAAGAAATATTTTTCTTCAGAATGAGTGCGATTCAT